ATAATAATAATACAAATTAAGTACAAGGTCTTTATTTTAATGTTTTGAAACTTTTATATTTCTAGCAAACTAAAATAGAAATATATATTATTTAATTACATTATAAATATTTTAAGAAAGAAAAATATATTTATAATATTTTTCAGAATAATACTTAAGCTATTATAATTGTATGTGAAACAACTTAGATATATTATAATTTATATAACAATATATTCACAAAATATAGATTGGTTGAGTGACTTGTTTAGTTATACACAAGAATGTTGGGTCTTAGGTCATGGGTTTGAGTCATATCATGATTTTAGTGGTTTTTAATAACAATAATCATATTAATAATAAGAGTATTAATTGACTGATAAAAAAATGTATAGCAGTAAAATTCATCAACTTAGCAACATTAGGAGGGGGTGGGGGGGGGGAGAGAGAAAAGGAATAATTTTACATTTCATTAAGGTAAGGAGGAGGAGACAATTATCCTCTTAAATTTCTATACTATTATATTTATTTATTTTATATTATATTTATGTGTATTTACTTAGTAAAGTGACTCTAACTTCATTTACTTGTTTAAATTAAGATACTTTTTATTCTAAATAATTAATGAAATGTTTCTATTTTATGTTGTTTAATTATTTTTTGATATTTATCACTGTCATTTACTAAATTTAATATTCTTTAATACATTCCAATTTTTTTTCTTTTTGTAAGCTATATCATAATAAATTTTAAATAATTAAAAATATTCAAACTTATTTAGCTTAATAATTTTTATATTAATATAAGCTATAAAATAGTTTTGTTAAATTAATATTTAGCTTATTTCTTCCACTGATTAATCATGTTAATCCCTTGTATAATATATAATAACTACTATTGTGCTAATATTGTAGAATAAGGAGGGGGATTGTAAAATAGAACCAATAAATCCCTCTTTACTTTGTAAAAAAAATGTAAAAATGTTAATCCATGTAATGTAAAAATTTTATATGAAGTGGTAATAATTTGATTTTTCTATATGACCTCTAAGCATTTAGAATTTTATAAGATAGGCAATAATTTAACAATATTGCTAATATATTTATTATTATTATTATGACTTTAATAAATAAAATGAGTGTAACATATATCATAATTTTGACTTCCACTAGGGCCACGTTTTGTTGATCTCCCTCTCATCATTGTTAATGTTTTTGCTTGTTTAGAATTTTCCAACCTATCTTTCTAATTCTTTCGCCTGGATTCTTCTTCAAGAATAGCTCCTACATCATCATCAAAGGATAGATGACCAATGACATTGTTATTTGTTATGTTGATGATGAGTTGATCATATGAATCTGGTAAACTCTAAAGTAGAAGTTCCACACGTTCATTTTTTGCTATATATATTAAATTCTTATGATGTAAGCCAAGCAAATAGCATATTCAAATTGTTGATGTGGTCTCTATTACTGTCATGGACTCACTCATTCAAAGAGTGTAGAGTTTTTTCTTTAAGAATATCCTAGTGTGGAATGACTCAACCTCATACAACTTAATGAGAATGTCCCAAATCTCCTTTGTAGTCTTTTTTCTCTACGCCACTGGATAAAACTAAATCTTCCATTACTAAATGCAAATTGGCAACAACATTGTCATCTATTTCTCTCCACTTTTCATAAGTGATATCTTTGGGTTTGTCTTCGATTGCACCAAGACAATTACTTTTCCTCAAAATTGCTATTATCTTTAATTTTCACATGGAGAAATTACTACCTTTAAATTTCTCTATCTCATATTTTGCTTCCAAGATTTCTCTCTATTTTTTCTCTCAATTAAGTTGACTTATGAAACTTCCATTATGATTAGTATTGCCTATTGGAACAATGATGCTAGACTGTGAACTTTTACACATTAAGTAAATTCACAAGAAAGAGAAGTGGGTCACTAATGGACACATTTAAATATCGAGTCTTTCCTTTCGAAAACTTTTCCTAGATTTGCACTTTCACACTACCACACTATATATTCAATAACAAGAATAACTTTTGTTGATGTGACAGATCAGATAATACTACAACCATATAGCATACTAAGAATTTTTTTTGACACTATACTAATGTGCATCATAGTAGAATAATATCTTCAACTTATTGGCTTTGATACCATTGTTGGGTACCAGAGTAGCTAAATAATACCACACAACTAAAATGAAAGATAAGAAAATTAGAGAAAAAAAAAAGATAATAAACACAATAAGAAAATTTTACTAAAGCAGGAAATTACATCACTTCTCACTCTAAAATTCACTCCTTGAAATAGGAGAATACTACTACTGAGAGAGAGCTCTCAAAGTAGGTAAAGAGAGGAGAGGAATATTTGGGATTCTTGTAATGGGACCTCTAAGCCTTATTTTATAGGCTATGTGTGGAGCTAAAAGCTAAATTCACCAATGTGGGACTTAGTAACTAACATTGATAACATAACATGACTCTTATTAGTACTGATTGTGGTTTGCACAAATTTTAGTTCTATATTGAGTGTTTGTGGAAGGCGTTATGAGAAAGAGAATGTGTGCACAAAGTTTAGCAAATGAAAGGTTGCATGCGTTATCCATTTTTTATGTTGCCATAAGTTCATGCATGGGAACGAAAAAATGGAGTGTGTTCTTTTAGTTGTGGTGGATTTCGTGTTAGAAGAGATGAGTTGCATGGAGAGTTATGTTCAACTTGTTGCATTGGTGAAAGAAATAGGGACAACAAGGCGCGGTGTTAGCATGATTACATTGGAGATCCACAACCATGTGAAAAAAATGTTTATGATTGTAAATTTTTTTTGGTGAAAGTGAAAGGATATAAGGGTATAATGTATGTTGGATGTTGTATGAGTGCAAATAAAGGAGTGGGAAGTGTTTTGTGTTTTTGTTTAGTGCTTGTTGGAAGCTCACCACGAAGCTTTCATAGTGGTTCAAATATAGGTAGTGTCATAAATGTTTTTTTGTGTATGCAATGAGAAAAAAGCCAGAAAGTACTTCTAAGTGGAGTTAAGATTCCAATGACTCAAAGTGTTGATTTGCTAGAATGGATGAGATTTTGGACTAATAGGATGGGAATCATTGTGAGTTTTACTACAATAGTAATTATTTGTTGTTTTTAAAAGTCATGGTGATTCATTGTCAATTCAAACACACTAAGGATGTGTGTTCTATTAGGATTTTAAAAGAATTATTTTTTATATATATATATAAAATCTTGTGGTATTATTAAGTCTTGTAGTATTGAATCATGATAATCATAAATATGTCAAAATATGATGGTATCCAATTGACAGATAATGTGTAAATGAAGACAAAACATGCTAAATAATTTTGTGTTGATTTGTGAGAACAAGCATTGATTATAAAGGAAATTGAGCATGAACAAATTTTTTTTTGTAAGTACTTAGTTAAATTTGTCTACACTTTGTTACATGAACAAAAGACCACTACAACTATTTTTTAGGTGCCTTTGGGGTACATTGGTACCAACTAAAGTCCAAGTTTTTGCATGGAGGTGTTACTTGAAAGAATCCAAATGAAGGCCAACCTAAAAAAGAGAATTGTATACTACAAGATATTATGGAAGTTTCATGTCCATTATGCATTAAAGATGAAGAAAATACTTGTCATATTAAGTTTTCTTGTTCATTTTCTTCTTCCATATGCATGGAAACAATGCTACACTTGGGAGCTCAAGTAGTTATGCCTCAACATTGTAGGAGCCACTTTTTACATCATGTGTATGGTTTGTTAGCTAGGGAACAAAATTCAAAATGATTAATATGACGCTACAAGAAATGTTACATACAATAACATACAAAAAGTGTCACTATAAATACAAAATATGTAGGTATAAATATTTTACATATAATTATACATAATTTTAATGTGAACTTTGAATAAAATTTAACATTTATTGTATGTCACTATAATTTATACCTATACTTTTAACAGTATACCAACATATTTATATTTATAGTATAGGTAAAAATAGTTTTTAGTGAGATATTTTGTATCATTATAAGATGTGTCACAATTTTTTTTTATAGTGTGGGTTGTTACAATAATTTAGACTATATGGCTACCAAAAAAAACAATGTTGTCTTCAAAAACAAGTTTATAGATGTTGTAAATGTGTTATCCTTAACAAAATTTAGATCTTGGTCATGGTTAAGTGCAAAAGTGAAGGAATTTTTCATTTTCTTTTAATGAATGGTAAAAAAAAATCCAATGTATAGATTAAAAGCTATGTAGGAAAATATATCTTGTAGGGATGTAATCCAAGTTCCATATCATTAATACAATAGAGACCATTTGCATAAAGACTAAAAGAAAATTCACGAGGGTTTAAGTTCAAAGTGAACAATATCATACAAATGTAAAGAAGTGTATATGAATATACCTACCAAAAAAAAAAAAGATAAATGCTCCTCTTGACAAATATATCTTCACAAAATGCAAATATAAAACAATCCATCATATTTTGTGTACAATTTTAGGTACCCACCATTCCTCTACTTTGTGTGTGTGCGCGCATGTGTATGCGTGTGCGTGTAGTGTGCATGTGTCTTATTCGAACAGTAAGTTTACCTACACTTACTTCACCCAATAATTCATATTCTATTTCAAATTTTAACAATCTAACTGTTGAATTAAAATTTATTAATGTATAGATCAAGTCTGTAAGTTTTTTTAAAAATTAAAAATTATTTAATACTTCATTTCATTAATTTAAATCAACATATTAAATATTTTTATAATTATCTATCAATTTAAATTAATGAAATAAAGTATCAAATAATTTTTATTTTTTTAAAAAAAAATTATAAACTTAATCTATACATTAAGAATTTTTAATTTAATATTTAGATTATTAAAATTTAAAATAAAATATGAGTTATTAAGTGAAATAAATTTAGAATGAGTTATTAGATAGAAGAATGAAATGTGTTTGATAATATTATTCTAATATAATTATATAAATACCAAGCTAGAGGAGCATAAAATGTAAAGAATAGGAAATTCGTACATAATTCAGTGTCTCTAAATCGTGACACGTTTTAGTTAGCGAGAAAGTCTATGTGAATTGCATTCATAATTGCTCTTGGGTATTGTAATCAATTATTTTCATGCTGAAATCCCAAAGTTTCTTTGCTAAATCAGTGTTCATTGCCAGTGAACTTGCTTTAGCCACATTATTATCTGAAAAATACTCGCCACTAATTCCCTTCACATGTGGATGCAACGCCACATAGCATGTTGTTGCTGCTCCCTACAATGAGATTGAAGTAGTTGAGAATGCAATATTATAAGAATCATAAATTAAATATTGAAATTTTAGATTCCCTTTTAGATAAAAGAAGTAATAAATAAGTAATAACAAATGTTTATATTCAATAGTTTGAACTATGTTTATATTACCTGTTGGATACTTTTTATCTGAGGATTAACAATCATCTTAATTAAATCTGCATAAATCACACAAACAACATAAAACTCTGTAGTTGTCATCACTTTTGCATTCAAAAATACTGACCAAGATAATTTCTACACACTATATAAGTTTGATATTGTTTAACATGTTTGAATTCAACATTCAAAAGTAAGACTGGGCAAAAGAAAAAAAAAAGACTAAATTGGTAGTGAACTGCATTATAAAATTGGAACTATTTTAAAAAAAAAAAAAAAACTAAAGTGAAGTATTTTTTATTAAAGATTCAACTCTTTGAAAAATGAACTACAAAATTTTAAATGAACTAAACTATTTGTATAATAGGATAAAAATTAGAAGTGTAAAAAATGACCAACCTCCATGGCCTGATGTTTCGAACTTATTCAAAAAAGTACCTAACAATAAATAAGTCAAATTGGTTGAACCCAAAAGTTTAAAATTTGGTTAAATTAGTTGAACCAGATGGTTAGACCACTAATTTTCATGCTTAAAATTTGGTCTGATATTTTTTATATTTTTTTTGTAGAGTTTAAATAAAAATAAAATAGAATGGATGAATTTGGTCTGTTTCAATAAATCAACAAGTCAAAATAGTTACAATTCAAAAAAAAAAATAGTTCAATTTAAATTGTGGTTTAATTCAAACTTTTAAAATGTTATTTATTTCAATTTAATGAAAAAATAATATTATAGTTGATCTGAACTAATATTTAATTCAATTAAAACAAACCTTTTTTCATTCACTTCCCATTTATTTTGTCTGCTTCAATTCAAAAGATGCAACCTATTTAACATAATTAGTTGTTTCAAGAGTAAATAATATATATGTGTATCGATGATGTAATGGATGTCTACATTATCGTGAATGATAATTCTATTAATTTTTATAATAATTATTACCTTAAAATTTGGGTTGATAGTAATTTTTTATTAGTTGAAAATTGTTTATACGGATGCATAAAAGTTAAACTTATGTTCTAATGTAATTAGAACACCTGTAACTATGAAAAAGGAATTGAATCTTATTACACTGAACTAGATCACTAAAGACTTAAAAGAACAATTAAAAGGAATATATCCTTTTATGTGTTGGATTATGAAAAATATTTTAGTTTGTATCCCAAATTCCTTGATTTGAATAATTCCTAGACAATTCATTAGAATAATGTAATATGGTAATTACCAGTTGGCACACTTCCACTAGTCTCTGGATTATAAATATTGGTGATAATACTTCCTGGATGAAGAGAATTTGCCGTAATATCTACTCCATCTTCCTGATCACGATGTAATGATTAATATTATATAGTTAGTATATCATAGAAAACTCAATGAGGCAAAATAAAATAATAAAAAAATTCATTTTAATTTACTTACAAACAGAAGAAAAAGCGAAAGTCATAAGAAAAGAGAGAGAACATTGAGAAAAGTTAACAGTATGGTGTTATTAGCCTATGATTGTTGCTCCTGTGAATGCATAGTTTTAGCATTTCAAGGAACGTAAAACAAAGTAAGACTAACAAAAAGTGGTCATTGATGATCAAACAACATTTCTATATATATAAAAAAAAAAAAAGTCAATATAATCAACTATTTCAAAGATAAGTCTAGTTTCAACAAAATAGTTATCAGTAACATTTTATCTGTAAATAAGAAAATAAAGGCATTATTAGAGTACTATGCGAAAGACAAATACTGCTTAAAGAATTCTAGTAGTAATTAGTTAGCTCATGATAAGATGCTGTAATTTCTTTAAACACAATGAACATGGTAAGATATAAGAACAAAGTTGGTCTTATATATATAGAGGGAGAGAGAAGGGATCCTTTTATTCCAGGAGTAAGTTTACCTAAACTTACTCCGTTCAATAACTCATGTTCTACATCAAATTTTAACGATTTTACCTTCAATTTAAAGTTCTTAATGCATAGATCAAATCTGCAAATTTTTAGAAAATTTAAAAATCATTTGATATTTCATTTCATTAATTCAAATTGATGAATAATCATAAAATTATTTTATACATTGATTCGAATTAATGAAACGAAGTATCAAATAATTTTTAAATTTTTTAAAAATTTGCAGATTTGATCTATGCATTAAGAACTTTAAATTGAACGGTTGGATCATTAGATTTTTATGTAGAACATGAGTTATTAACCGGAGTAAGTCTAGATAGACTTACTCCTAAAATAAAAAGATCCCTCCTTTTCATTAATATCTATTTATATATTATTGAAGTAAAACTCTAACTTTACTTGAAGACTACACTTAAAGAATTTTACTCAAATTTTATTCTTCGTAAATTCCTTCCTTGATCAGTTGATCATCACACCACATGAACCATTGGAGTTTAGGAGATTACCCATTCGAAGGGGGTAGATTACTCAAGAATTTTTTACATTTCGTTTCTTTTCTGAAAAAGAAAACTTTTTTGGTACGAATTTTGGTAGATTACTCTATTCAAGAATTTATGTTTTATATCAAATTTCAATGATTTAATCGTTAATTTAAAAGTTCTTATAATGCATAGATCAATTCTATGAATTTTAAAAAATTTGAAAACTGTTTGATACATCGTTTTATTAATTCAAATCAACATATAAAATATTTTTATGATTATTGTAACGTGGTTTTAAAAAAAAAATGGCTGATTTAGTATCCCGGAACGGGCCGTTCCCAATCTAGAACGGGCCGTTCCAAATTCCAAAACGGGCCGTTCTGGTTGGAGAACGAGCCGTTCTGGAAGGAGAATGGGCCGTTCCGGAGGGAGAACGGGCCGTTCCGGATGGTTAGAAAGCTTGTGTTTGGGAGGATTGAAGTTCCGAGTTAAGCCTCGAGGGGAAATTCTACTTTTGTTCAGTCTTTGGCTATCTGAGCCAATCTTCAGGTAAGGGAAGCTAGAATGTTTGTTATTTAGGATGTATGTGAGTTTACAAACTCAATGGGATTAGGCCGGGCGCAGGTTGAGTGTGTCAGGCGTGGAAGAGCTCAGAGTTCTTGGGTTGGTGTTAGGCTAGGTGCGAGCTGACTGTACATATATGGTGCTATATTTTATATACAGAAACTTAGTTATTTTGATCTTTATATTTATGTCTGTATGTATGTGTTATCCAGTTTAATATTCTCTTAGTTAACTAGTTGTAGTGCGATTCCACTAAGTGTAGAGACCGTGGCGGGTCGTTACAATTATCTGTCAAATTGAATTAATGAAATGAAATATCATATAATTTTAATTTTTTTTAAAAAAATTATAGACTTGATCTATTTATATTGAATTGTAAAAATTCAATCATTAAATTAAAATTTTTTAATACATATATGAAATTTGTAAAAAAAAAATTAAAAACTATTTGCTATTTTACTTCAATAGTTCAATTTGATGGATAATTATAAAAATATGTTATCTACTAATTTAAATTAATAAAATAAAATATTATATGATTTACAAACTTTTTTAAAATTAATAAATTTGATTTATATATTAAAAACTTTTAATTTAATAATTGAATCATCAAAACTTAATGTAAATAATGAATTATTGAATGATATAAGTCTATCAAAATTTATTCTTAAAGTAAGTAGATTTTCTCTCCCCTCTCCCTCTATGCAAGCACGCTGACAATTCAAAACCATAAAATTAGACTAAACATCAAACTGGGAACTTCAACAATTCATATTTTAATTCCATTGGAACTCTCTAAACTAAAAACAATTAAATTCTATGTTAAAAGTAAAACAACAAAATATACGATAAAAGAACAATAAACATAACATAAAAAATATAATATTGAATCAAAAGTAGGAGCTATCAAAATATTGGTGAAAAAAAAAACCCAAAAGTAGTCAATGAAAATAACCATGTGCAAGTTCAAAGTTTGTTTCAGTAATCAGTCAAAATTTTAGAGAAAAGATAATAATGTTAACTCTTAATAGTCATTAACAGCATAACCATCTGTAACATAACATTATGGTATAAAAAATTATCATCGAAACTTTCCTATAATTATATATTAATCATTTTATAATAGAACAAATGTCAACATACTTTAAGGCGTGTTGCGAGTTCATTGGCATGTAAAATATTAGCAAGCTTTGATTGCCCATATGCATGCCACTTCTCGTAACTGTACACAAGGAAGAAAAAAAAATAATCAAATTAATATACATTATGTTTCTCCTTTCCATAGATACTATATGAATCATGTTTAAGGCTTAATTCTAATTTCTACACACAGCTAAGGTTCACATAAGTATAACAAAATAACTATATCCAAGTGCATCAAATTCTAAATGATATTGTCGATTTTCTGTATAGAGACGCTTAATGGTACCACAAGTGACAGGCCACAAATGTGTCAATAATGTGACATATTGACACATTAATAATGGATAAACAAACATGAGATTGACAATAATAATATTTCTTTTATTCTTTAATAATTGAATAAATACTGGAATTGAATTCCAGTGGTAATAAAATTAAATCTCCAGAATGATATGTCTTCATGGTATATCTTACCTTGATTCATCATTAATTTTATCAAAAAGAATTCCTTCGGGATATGTATAGTGGTGGCCATCAGATGATACATTGACAATTCTTCCTTCTATCTTGCTTTCAATTGTAGTTTTCTTCATAGTATCTAACAAAAGATTTGTTAACAGAAAATGACCTGTGGAATTATAATAAGTAAAAATAAATAAATAAAATAATCAAAGTTACTTTTATATAATTAAAGAAAAAATAGAAGAATTATATGCATATATATACATATATATATATATATATATATATATATATATATATATATCTATCATATAATATTTTATATACATATAT